TTTTCTTAAAGATAAAATTCTATGTGGCCCTTAATAGGGTTAAGTTTGTTTTTAAAATAAAATTGATTTATGGGCAAATAAATATAATATTTTTAAATGTAAACAACATAAACTGTTTATGATATTAGAATTTAAATGTGTACATTAAGGACATATAGGTCTTTCACATCCGCGAAAACACTTCAGTGAATATAATGTATACCATATACATACACGATCCCTTGAACCCAATACAATTGGCAATTCTAAAGACATTTAGCGTTATTTCCTTAGATTAGTAATGTTATTTATGAATTTTTGTAGGTTAAATTGTAAATGAAAATAGCGAAAAATGCAATACAAAAGAAAACCTTAAATTTTTAGTTTTGTTAAAACGAAATGAAATTATAAGATACAGATACAGTAAAAAAGTCAGGGTTATATTTTGATGTTTCTAATGTTAAGAATTATGTTAAGCAAGCGGTAGAGTGCTATCTATTCTCAATCCATGAAAAACAGCCTTTATTGTTCATTAATGTGTTAGTTGCTTTCAATGGTTTATATTAGCAACTTATTATTATCAAATGATGCTTTTGTTGTTGTAATTTTCACATTTTTATAAGAATACATGGTGCCAGGCGATGTTCCATCAAATGTCGATTTCAAGAGGGATCCACAAAAAATTGTTATATTGTCATTTTTTTTTCGTTAGAAACGTTAAGTTGATGATTCAAATATCAAGTCGATAGATCAGAACAACCTAGAATTTCCCAAATCTTGTCTAACAACGTTAATTTGCATTAATATGACTTTCGTATTGGTTAAAAGGCTTTTCAGTGTAAATGAATACATATTTTTTTTATGTATTTGTACCTTCGTCAATCCTCACTGTTGAAACTCATGATCTAATTCTACTTTGTATCTTTACAGCTACTACCACGCCATCACCTCCACCGAAGAAAGTCAAAGAGACAATGCTGTTTCCTGGTACGTATTGCTTTATAATATGTATAATGCCATGTATAATTTTATTACCACGTGAAAATGGTTACTCTCCCATTTTTTTGTCCTACTGCGTATTGTTCTGTAACATGATTGCAAGATATTCAGGGTGTCGATTTCCTTTGAAGAGCTGTACATTTGTGTTTTATAGCACACACATCTGAAGTTGAATGACATTTTAGAACATATTCGCAGTCAAGACAAGTCACATTTGACCCGTATCTCGTTTTTCAAAAGGTATCTCTTGTGACTGGTGTAAGGTCACACTTTGCCTTGGTGAAGAGGAAAATGGTATTCGATGTCCAAAATCACGACCTTAAAATTACCAAATTTTCCAGTCCTTATTTCATATAAAGGGCCTATTTTATGTAAATTAGAATTCATAATTAGAAATTTTTGGTTTAAGAAATTTTCATTTTCGAGTCAATGCTCACTACCTGTGCGATAAAACCCATTTATTTTAATAGAAAACCATTTCAATGAACTTGATTCATGGTGATTCGAGGTTTGTCAAGCTCGGTGAGGTAGAACATAAGGTTTTTTTACGCCCATGCACAACTATTAAAGGTACTTAATGTATAATCTATTTTACACTACTATATGATCTAATCGGCCAAGGTTATCAATCGTCCTGCGAAAATGTTTACGACGTATGTATGATGAAATATTTATGAAATATATAGATGATTTATAACACCCAATACAGTATACTACGAATGACCTGCCAACTGGAGAATATACTAAGGGTAAAACTGATGTCAATATGCTTATTTTAGTACTATCGACTCAGTTCTTTCGTTATCGTGGTGTGCTCAAGCTTCAAAAGCATACAAACCAAGGCTTTAAAAAGCACTGGTTTTATATGTGATTGCGATGAGACGGTACCATCAGATTATAATCTCTCCTTATTTTTTTAAAATTTAATATAACAACTGAACTAAATATAACAGCATTATACAGTTCTAGCTTCATGATTTAGGCCCGGGCTTTTTATTCTCACATCACCCTAGCATTGTGTTCCTGTTATTGCGAAAGATTCAAAGTTAAACCGCTTATTATTCTTGTTAAAATTTCAGCTAAGACATAAAGCCTCTTTAAAGTAGGATTTGCTCTATTTGATTGATGTAAACACCTATTTATATCTATTCTGTGGCTTATTTACTTTAAAATACCTCCATGTTAATTTAATATCTAGCTTGTTGCCTCCCAGGTGGGACGTCCATCATTAGAGTATTATCAACATGTTTATAATCAATCTCAATATCTAATGTGTTTTGTTGAGAAATAGTGATACGCTATATCTGTATAATCACCAACCAAGTTATAACAACAGTATTACATATCAAATTTGATAGACATGTTTTATACCTAAATGATATGAAATCTTACAAATTTTATAGAATGTTACGTTCTAGGCATCCAGATACTGTACCAATAACGATCTCAAGCGTTAACCACCTATAACGGACCTCGATTACGAATAATATGTAGGTCATAAATACTCATAATTGATGTTTACAACCAAATTTATAAAAATATGGACTAAAGAATATAGGAAAATCGACACGCCTCAAGCTTTAAACCAGTCGACGCTATTTTCAACGATGTTTTTTACCCAAATTTATCTAGGTTTTAAGAATTATTATTTTGTTGCACGACCTTGAGGCTAGGAGACGGTTGTTATTGAGGTTATATAACCAATTTAAGATAATTTGTGGAGAATGTCGCCCACTATGTTATCAAAATCTCCTAGATCAAGCTGTATTTGGTGACATGTAGATTATATTCAGGTATACGTATTCAACTGTGAGAGAGACGTCACGTTAAATTGAAGCAACATAACGAACTATTGTGTGTTTCCCTTGAGCTACGTCTTCTACAAAATATTCATTTAAACCACAAGCATCCTTCAAAATTCATGGTAGTAGACACTTATGGATGTCTAGCAGCATAGTTTTGTCCCACATAATTGGTTCGTTTAAAATTCTAGAATCCTTCAAAAGACACGAAAGGCGACGAGGGTTCTTAGAGCAAATGTCACGTAGGACGTATACGTGTCTAAGTTGACTACATTAATTTCTGCTAGAACAAAACGCACGAATAGATTTTAAGGATATAGTGGAAAGGTCGCTATCGTCTGAGGCTCGAAGACAAAACTGATCCTTACCACAGTCTTCGTCAATGTCAAGAACATGAAATGAGGTAAAGTAATTCTGCAATTCATGTAGTTGAACTACCACTTTTCAATGACGACGAACTGCATAAGAAAATGCACGCTGCATCTTTCAATGATTAACATAATTGCACTTGTGCGTATACGTTACTTTTAGTCCCCCGCAGTTCAAGAACAATTATAGTCGCCCTATTGAAAAGAAGTAACAAAGGGAACATTGTTACACCTCAAAAAGCAATTACAATTTCTCCTGAAACGACATACAATATCATTTTCCAATTTTTCAAAACTGCAGTTTTATTACCTATATATGATATTGGGCATTATAAATTCATTAGAAGTGTTTTTGTGGTAAAATTACCTTTGAATGGTTACATTGTAAAATCTGGTAAAATTAAAAAAAAATCAAAAGTAAATTAAATGTCGATTTTCTACAAGATTTAGCGATAAATTATCTTGATTTAAAGTACTCGTTCACATATTGTTACCACAAACACACAAAAAGAATAAACGCAGACAAAAACTTACAGTGTACACTTGAATATAACTCAGTAAAAGAATTCCACGGATAGTCTACAGATTAATTAAAATGTATATTCAGATGAAATTTATCCGTTTATATTTGAAATGTTCACTGAAAATTGATTTCTGAAAACAGGTTGCGCAAAACCATCCAGGACACCTTCCTACTGGATTAACTGGACAGGTTCGCCATTTTAGGGTTTTTTTTTTGGGTCTTGAATATAAATAGCCTTCAGAAGTACTAGAAATAATTCCTTCAAAAATACGTGAAACTAGGAATTTCTCTTTCTATTTCTGTATATGTCTTTTCTACTTTCTAAAACGAATAATTTTGGACACATATGGATTTGAAGGCTCAAATTTCGCCGGCGAGCTTTGAACACTATTACTGATTTACTTATCTATATTCCCAATTCTGAAACCAAGGCGAATCTGTCATTATTAATCATCTTGAATTAGCCCCCAATCTCGTCAAATCAGATCTGGGATTAACGAATCCAGTAGATTAAAACAGTCTGACTACATTCTTTATCGCAATCAATTGTTATATATCTAGGTATAGACATTACACAAGTGTACGTAAGTTATAAAAATGACAAATTTCTAATTGAAAGATTTGAAAATGACAGGTTTAAGATACCGTATCACTTTTACACCTAGACACATTAAACTAGTTTTATCTTGTAGAAATTCTATCCTTTTTAAAATAAAATCATTTAGATGTCAACACATTCTATACAATTACCCGTACCAAAACACCCACCTTTTCGGTTTTGAGTGGGCAAATTTAAACATTATATAAATAGACGATACCCAGAAATTTCAACTAAATACTATTTATTTTTACAATTGCGTAGGAGATAAACCCTACTGAAGAAATGTGATCCTGTTTTAAGGTAACCTTAAGAGCGTTACGTTCTAATTTGTGGTGAGTTGTAGCTATTGAGGACGGACAACGTCATGCAGAACGCAATGAAAATTACCGCTAATTAATACCCTTGGTCTTGCTTATCGTTAAGCTGAAATCGAATGTTAAGTCTCACAGCTTGGGCAAATTACTGTATCGAAGTTAGACCTTCTGATCATGCAATAAGCTCTGGACTTGATGGTTAGTCAACTGCTTTTTTAAAACTTGTGTTCCCAGTATAGCTTTATTATTTTTATTGCATAAAATCGTTTGCCAACCACAAAATATGTGTAACATGGGTTTTTTTCAAATCTGAATATCGGTTAATGGCCACATTCCATAATAGATAGTGAAAATATTTGCAATAAGACGTGTCAATGTTCAAGTGTGTTGAATAGACGAAAGCTTCCTTTAGCTATGCGAATAGGATTTATTCAATGTAAACTTGACATCATTGACAGCAATTTAAATGCAGGTAAAAAGGGCTGTTGTATAAATAGATATTTAACCTATTGAATAAACATGATGTAGGTTTTTAGGTTACCTTGTGTGCTATATAAATGAAAGAACGCGTGAATAAATGAAATGAGGATTTACACCCTACATCCCAAATTCCGATATAAACCCTACACTAGTAATGGAGAAATTCAACAAAAGCTTCTCAAAATTGATCTCAAAACCCTTCCGTTAGAGACTTATCCAACTCGCGATGGCAATACTGTTGTCATACTGAAGTCATTTGCTTTGGTGTATTACACAAATGTAATGAAAGTAAAACCCCCTTCGGAGCCATAATTAATTTTTCGAATTAGGATACACTGTGATACTTTCTAAACAGATACATTTATTTTCATTTCAGAATGCCGAGAAAAGACAATGGATATTGTATTCGCTATCGATTCATCTAACGATATTTCTCGTAACGACTACTGGCGTCAGATCCGGTTTGTAAGGGAAGTGGCTAGAAGAATGGATATTAGTAAGAACAAGACCAGAGTTGGATTAATAGTTTATGCTGACCAAGTTTTACATCAATTTGATTTGAATGACTACACCAAGATGAAACCACTGTTAAATCGTATTATAACTGCACGACGAACTGCTGGTGGAACTAGAATTGACAATGCTATCAGGTAAGATGAAGGCATTGTTGCTTGAAGCTACCGAAGTTTTTCTTATGGCTCTAACGGATACATATGCTAACGACGATAGGGATAGAATGGAAGTTTTCTGTGGTCCGAATCAGGAATCTGTTGCGGAACAGCATTCACGTAATAAAATATGACTTATTAAGGGTTACCACACCTTCGCTCACCGACCAAAATCAGGCAAATGACTTCATCAGATTAATATCTCTCTAAATGAAAACTTCGGCGGTTGTGAACGAAAAGCAACCCAAGTGAACATTTTATCGTAATTCGATTTTATTCAATAATGTTTAGATAAAAAAAATTGCGGTACAAGGAAATGCAAGAAAAGATGCAATTTTAAAGTTCTTTCCCGAATTGTTGATTCCTCTGCGATTGTATATTTGTCTTCCTTAACATTGAATTCATCAACATTCTTACCATTATTTTTTTAATTCCTGAATATACAATTGTTATCTCCATCATACATTTTACACCTTGTTTCAACAATTCAGATAATAACTAAATTCCTAAATTCCTATTGCAATTTACAGTTACCTGTTCTCGGTAGATAAGAATTAACGACTTGATCCTAAACGATATGCATATTTCTATGCGGTTTTTGAACTTTACATTAGGGATATGTATGAATACAAGTCTACCTTAGATCTACATATTTTGGGCTGGTAATATTTGAAACTAAAGATAAAATTGAATACATTTCACAAATAAACCACAAAAAGACGAAATAAACAAAATATCTTTCTTGAACAAATTTTACTATGTCATTAAATACATTGTAGAGTTGATTTTTTTAACCACGAAACGTGCAGTTGGATGTAACATTCATTCAAATGTCTGATAAAGTTGATGTGTCTTGTTGAACTGCATTATTATCGGTAGTCTTTCACAAGGACCAGAGGAAAATCATAAAAAGCGTCGGGTCTAGTAGACTTCTATCATTAAACGCTAATAGAGACTAGACAAAATCAGCAAGATTCAGAGTATTAAAGGTACATTACCTCTTAGGATGACCAGACAAATGGAATTTTTAAATTTGGTTAAAATCTTTGTTCATCAATGGACTTACCTGGTGTCATAACTATGCAAAAGAATCTCGCTATAATCCAATAAATTGATAAAGCTAAGTTATAATTCATTAAAGTTTGAAACATGCTAGGAAGTGTGTTTATGGATATTTCGTCTTATATAGAGATTCTGTTCTTTAGTCATGACACCTGGTAAGTCCAGCTGATGAATATATACACTTGTCGACCAAGTTTTTTGTCCATTCTAGAAAGGTAATATTCTTTTACATTAATATCCTAGTAATATGTAGGAATTTCTTAAGTTTTTTTGTTTCAAGTCATGCGGAAATAGTATATTAAATTTCGGGCATGTTAATTAAATATTCTAATATATCAGTAAACATACGAGAGAAACTGGACAATATCGCCACGGAGATCAACAACCGTGGGTCTGGTAGCAATCCATCATCTAAATACACCTATAAACAACATCGTAACATGGTACATCAAAGACATAGATATTTCTAACATATCTTCAACGTTTACCATACGTCAGGCTTCATTAATATATTCATTTATTTACACTGTTAGAATTCTCTGTAAAATATACGAAGAATATGATGACAATATATGAATAAAAAAATCATTACTGTTAAGTTATTGGCAAATACCGCGCTTAGGCTGATTCCATACGATGATGAAAAGTTTAACTTAATTTGTTCCCAAGATCCAGCTCTTTAATTCAATCAAGTTTTAGCCTAGTCACAGAGAGTAACAAAGTTTTAAAATATATTTTGGAACTTTAACCGTTGTTTGTTTTGCCTGTATGGAACAGATGATAGTCGTTAGGTTTTGAGCAACAAGGCTGCCCAAAATTACCTGTTTATTTACAGCAGAATTATTTACAGTGTACCTCAATGTTGATTAATAAACAACAGAACTTTTTAAGATGAAGTCATTATCATATACTTATGTTTCAGAGAAAAGTTATACCGAAGTATTATAGCAACTCATAATTAAGTATCTCGCGGCACACCCTACATCCTTAGTACAAACCACTTTCATTAGTTAGAGGTGCTATATTTATCATAATATTTTAATGACAAAAGCTGTCATATACTGAGCGCTTTTTATAAAAAGGTGCAATTCATCATTTCATTATACAAGGAAAGGTATGCTTAAGAGTTTTGGCTTCTGATCAATTTGAATAATCCTCATTACTTGTGCCGTAAAAGGGTGGTATTTCACAAAATTTGATCAAGTTTTTATATAATTATTATTATATCAAATTACTTGTACGAAAAATTAAAAGCAAGATTCGGATTAATGTTGCTGATAACTTGCTGAAATTGATTGCATGACCAAGGAGATCAATTGTTGCTGATCAAAATAAGTGGGAACACTTCCTGCAGAAACTATGTAACTGTATCAGGAATGGAATTGAGTTTGTCAAAATTACCCGCTATGATATTGATAGATGAACGGTGTTGTATATTACTCAGTAATAGGTATTGGTCACTAGGTACACACCAGAGTATTCACCTCTCAACCCGTTATCTTCTTCAGGTCGAACTGTTACTATATCACTACATACCAATATAATGGACTAGACCTCTTGACCCACTTAACTACCAATTTCATATAATTGGTCTTGACAGAGATGACCACTACCTTACTTGTCCAGAATACTAATATTGTGTGAATTGTGATATGGTTTGACGTTTGGTTTTCTATTTAGGCTTTTATTACTTGAGTGGTGTATTATAAGACCGAGTCGTGTTTGATCGGTTTTTGACCAGCTTGACGTCAGCAATATAATAAATTAACATTATAAATATTTCATATTTTGATATTGGTATTGATAAAATAACGAACACAGATTAGTCAATTTGATAATTTGAGTGTATTCAGGTGTCAATAATGTACATTCAGAATCCATGGACACCCTTTTATTAATCGCCAATAGTATGTAATAGAATCGAATGCTACCTTCTCCACAAACAGTCTTTAAATTGCGAATTATCCCGTTGGCATCCTAGTTGATCAGTATCAGGAACCAGTGAGTGCCTGATGTAAAGCTATGTACAAACTTCGTACAGGTGTAACTGAAAATTAGTTCTTTGCTCTGTCCACAAAAAAGGACAGAGATTTCTTAGAGGGTTTCAACAAAAAATGTCTTAGTAGATGGCAATTTAACCATATTCCAATTACTATTCCAGATATGTTCGAACCAAGAGTTTCAGAAGAAGTGTCAGTAGAAACAACACAGCTCAGGTTGGTGTGATTATTGCTGGTACCAAGTCAAGGAATCTTCATAGAACTAAGAAAGAAGCTAACGAAGCTCGAAAGGCTGGTTTAACGTTAATCTCTATTGGTGTTGGTAGTGGTATAGAACAACAAGAAATGGAAGTCATCGCTAAAGATAATAATAATAGCAACCGTGGATTTATTATTGATACTTTTGATGAGCTGGATGCTTTAATTAATGATACTGTTGTTGAGGCGTGCAGATGTAAGTTTCTTTTACAGTTTCTTTTACTCCGCATTATGATCTTCTAGAATTGACTTTTGCTTCGTTGGTCGTTGTACCGTAAGCCGGTCATTGCCTGTGAAGTTCGCGTCTTTCAGCAAGATCAGAACAATTTGAGCTTTTTGTGGTAAACAGTTCGAACAAATTCTATTCTAGCTTGCTGACAGCATATTATATTACGTCATATCCTGTCACACGTTGTGGTGAGCATGTATATAATATTTAAGGAACTTTGTATTTAAAATGAAAATTTATATTTTCAGCGAAAATTGCTGAAAGACCAGTATCTGATCAACGTAAGTACAATTAATTATAATATCTTCAGTACCTACTAGTCTATGTTAGCCACGACCCTTTTTGACATAACTTGATAATACGGATTTCAGGAAATATTGTAATGTATGATTATGGCATATACGGTGTATCTAATCTAAATCGCTTGATACTTGATATCATACTGAAACATCTAGATAGTTCGTGAAGTCATCAACAGAGCTAACAGCTGACACATACTACAAAACAACAACCCCAGGTGTATCAAACAAGTGGTTGCTGAAGGGTTATCTGGCTGATGTTTTGCAGATGTTCTGTTGATCTGCCATTTGCCACTGAAATAACGTTATGACTACCAGATGTGTGCATGTAGGCTCGTCATCATTTTTCCTTATATATTTGATAAGTATCCAGTTGATCCATTGGGGCGATGAAGCGAGAACCACACTTCATTGCTCAATTATTACCCAATGCCAATAAGTGGCTGCAATTCTATAAGACATCTCTTGCATTTCAGCTTGTGGATTCAGACAGCAAGCCGATTTAATGTTTATATTGGATAGTGTTAACGCTGGTAGAACTAACACCAAGAAAAGTTTAGAGTTTGTAAAATCAGTGAGCAAAGCAGTGGATATTGATAAAGATAACATACAAGTTGGACTTATGTCAGCAGAATGTGAACCAGGAAACGAAGGTTTTTCACTAGGAGCTCATAGAAACCAACATGAATTAATGAACGCTTTAACGGAGAAGAGAGGAACCGATATCACCAAGCTACTGAAAACCATGAGGAGAAACTCCTTCAGGTCGAGTCAAGGTGCTCGTAAAGATGCTAAGAAGGTAGCTGTAGTAGTGGTTGATGGTAACCTAGAACAGCCATTAAAAGCTTTACGAGAGGCAAGATTTGCCCGGATTCGAGGAGTAGAGGTGTATGTGGTGGCCGTGGGGAATGATAAAGTTCAGAAAGAGATGGAAATGATGTGTGATGCACCGACTCAGCAACACTTTTTACGAGTAGAAAATTATGATCAGCTGAAAACTCTAAAAACAGAGCTTATTGATATGCTTTGTGACGGTAAGTGTATGATACTCTTTTTTGATAATTGTCACCGAATTGCTAATAAAATTGCAGCGATCGCGCGACACAGTCTTTACAGATGCTAGTGTCCATTCTTTAGGCATACTTGAATTTGAGAATTTGCTTGCTTGTTCCAAACAGATCTGTGATAATTATCGATTGCACAATCTGTTCATTGAAGCTGCATCATCTGACATATATTCTATTTTCAGAACTGTAAGAAATAAGCATGATGTATGAGATTATCTGTGATAGAGAGAGAATGTTGTATATTGGGGGACCAGGAATTAACCTGAATAATGGTCATCCCATCACCGGTATATAAACCAACACTGAATAGCTGACATCTTTGCTGTGACTATTTTCAATTTTATTAGGCCAAGCGTGGCTGAATCTCTTAGTGTGTTACGTTTTCCCAAGAAAAGGCCGATATATAACAAAACACAATGCTGATAAGAATACTTTTTAAAAGGTTGTTACAATAAAAACTGTTTCGCCAATATGATAACGTATTTGTGTATCAGTATCCGTTTGTACACCAAGCCATATTGATGATGCTAAGCTGTGCAAAGAAGATGTCGCCTAATCCCCTTACAAAAAGTGCTAGTATAATTTTATCTAAATAGTGCTATGAACATAGAACATGAACATCCGAAAGTGCTTTATAATCCAAAGACGCTAACCAAAGAATACAATCGAAGAAGAAGGCTATGTCCGGTGTATGGGATGTGGAAGGAGATATTCGTTTGAGACGGGCATGTGCAATATAGTGGTGCTAAAAGAATTGAGACAAATCTATTTCTGACATGACACTATAAACAGGACTGCATTATTAAAAACTATACAGAGAACATTACCGCTTTTCAACTGCTACTTCGCTGATGATTTAGAAATGTGTGAACCTAGAATTTACCAACATCGCTACGAGAGCAGGCATAAGGACACTGAAACGTCATTCCTGCTTTTGTAAACCCGTATGCAAACCGGTATATCATTTGTGTACAGGATAGTTCGGCATCAGTTCTGAAGAGTTCTTACAGCGTTCCAAGCATACATACTAGTGCTATGCTTCATACCATTTGACTTCGAAGACTACACGTTTGTTAACAGTTCGTACCTTCACATTGGTCGCTAAAACTAAATACTGTTATTAAATTGTTAAGATTGCCGAACTTATATTATTTAGGTTTTGTTGATATTATTTTGAACATTCAGGCAAAACTTTTTTACCGTTTAGTAATTTAGTTGCTTTTTATATTTTGTAATCTGTACTACATTTAAATGCTGAATCGAGTGCTTCAAACTATACTGCTAGCTTCTCTATTTTGTTTGAACGGCTTTGTATATATTGTACATAATTCATATGAGATTTTTAAAAATTATTCACAATGGTCTGATTAGTCAAGCACCCTTGTCCCTGTTACGACGTTCATCTCTCAAATATGACTGAGGCTTTTTGGCTAGGGACACCCTAACCCTCAGACAGTTATCAAATAGTGCATGCATGAAGTAGTGTCTACCAATTACATGTTGAAACTTTTCATTTGATAACACTCGGATATCGAAACGATTACGAACTATTTCTGTTACCAAAGCCTTTGATATCTGTACTATCATAACATGTGACTTACCTTGTACATAATTTTTATTTATGCTAGATACATATATCATGGATAAATCAAACAAGTTATACCATATTGTTTGTTGAGCATTTAGGTAGGTTAGGTAATTATTGTTATGCTTAGCATGCTTAACTATGCTTACTGATATACATACAGTAGCAAAGAGCCAGTTCTGGTTAAACCTTAGTCCAGGCCAAGCGCTATGTACAATATTACAATAACAATATTTATTACATAGTATGACATAAATTAATTACAAATTATTTTTAGTTATATAGGTAGCTGAATAGGTCAATGTAATTCCGGTGAAATATATAGAATTTGTACATAGCTTTGAAATTTGGTCCTTTTAGAATACCCTTCTTTAAGACGAGAAGTTTAAATACTTTCCTTACTAAGCGTTAAATTTCTAAAAAAAAATTTCTTTTTTTGAAAAGAATATGAGGTCTTTCTTAACTTAAAGAACCAGAAACGCTATTCTGTACACTGCCCTCCTGTGCCATTTTTACTTAGATCAGACTTGAGCTGACTTTTTTTTTCTAATGTGTTCCTCGAAAACTGCATCTTTTCATGTTCATTTACTGAACAAAACGGTAGTATTGAGTTATTTTAGATGATTAGAGTCACCTGTTGTAAATTATATTTGGATTGCCTCTAAAAATATACGTGTAATATAAATATTATTATTCTGTTGTTATATTGTAAATACTGTTGTTATATTAAATGTATTTTGTACAATTTTAAAATTGATATTTGCTAGTTAGTAGATCGTATTATGTTAATTCGCTGATAGAAAATAAAAGTTGAAATACCCCTGTTGTCTTTTCTTTCTGGTTATGATGATTTGTTATGATGGATGTATGTCAGGGTCATCATGGCTGAAAGTGACAAGAACATGAAGTTCATGGGTGGCACCAGATTGTGGAAAGGCCTTAAAAGTGATTGACAACAGGCGATCAGACGAAAAGTATAGCTAGGGTAACTTTGGTGAGAGGAGACTGGGCCCATTGGTGGCAAGGGTATGAAAGTGACTGATGACAGGAAAGAAACCACAAGTGTAACATTCAAAGAGGGGGAGAGAAGCAACATGCAAGATACAGCTGATGTAACACATCTGTGAATGGGTGTAGGGTCGGTGATGGTACAATGATTACAATTGGGAAAAGCAACTCAAATGAAAGAGGAGTATGATAGTCAAGGTATAGCGAGTGTAAGCATCTTTGAAATCAAGTTGGCAGTGGGTGTGTCAAGGTCCTGACTGATTCACACTCACAGTTCGGTATTTGGGAGAAAGGATGCTTCACAAGAATACAAGTAAGAGTTTGACAGTAGGGAGTGTCAAAATGTTCAAAGCAATGATTGCGAAGCTCGTGTTTGAAGGTAAGTAGGCTATGTATACACGAATTTGTGAATATAACGGAATACGTGAATGTGATAAGAGTGTATTTTGGCACAGCTCGACTCAGATTGTCGATGCATATCACATAAATCACAAGGGTATTGCCCTCAGACAAAAATGCAATTCGTATCAATGGAGTTAAGAATGACAATGCCAAGAAATGGAACGATATGAAGAGAACACGGTTTGTATAATGATAAAATCTGCTGGTTGATAATATGGCAGAGCAAATTACTACTATACATTTTCATGAAATATAGACCTGTAGAATGTGACTATGGCGTCTTGGTCAAGATAATTTGGATTATACAAATATAATTAAAACTTTGTTGATTGCAGGTATTTGATTATTCAGTATTAATAACATACTTGGATATGCGCTGGTTTGAAACCCTGTACCTGAGGTGGCAAGGATATAGTTACAGATGATGCAACAACCTTTAGTAGCTCGGATGGTTATGTTGCTATTATTTTTATAAACGAATTGTCCTCTCATGTTTCACTCTTAATTCTTGAGCCTGCTAGAAGTAAGGACTACGATTATGGGATTTTATTCTTGCATGTTTACAGCTGAAACAAGAACTTAAAATAAACGATAAAGGCTGCCGCACACTTGCCATCGGAGTCGAAAAATCGGCCAGTGTGCGTTGGTCTACGACAGCCCTAAGAGAAAATCAGGGAGAGGGGGGGAGGGGGGGCGGGAGAGAGACATTTGGCATGTTTGACCGAAAGACATCCTGACGTGCCTTGGAGGCTAGTTAAAGGTCAACCAATAGAATTCCATGTTCGTATCACGTGCTCACTTGTGGATGACAAACTGTTTACGGTAGCCCGAAAAAAGTGTGCGCTAAATGTACGTCCCGATAATTTGACTCCGTCGAAATATTGTACGGCGTTACGTCAAAAAATCGGTAAATGTTCGTCGGCCTTGACGAAACCCGAAATCATTCATAACAGTGCAAATTCTGGCCAAATCAATTCTGCAATTCTAATAGGAATTCTAATACCGGTGATAGGCATTTTCCCTTTCCATAAGGCTTGGTGGTCAACGTTTCAAAAGTGATGTTGAAAAAGCATTGGAAATTGCTTAAAAAAAAGCCCGTTTTAAGCCATTTGGTTCTGGTTTCTGTATGTATTTTCAGTATAGCCATTGTCTTAAGTTATTTCTGTAAGAATACCTCTGTAATCACACTCACACACGATCTACAAAAATGATATGCATAATATTGAAATAATGATTTGAGTAAAAAAACTTTTAATTCCTTACGAATCTGTATATCCACTTAACACGAATACTTTGAAAGACGATATAAGATTGTCTACAGGGAGTCTCTTTTTCCCCATACCTATTCTCGTGTTTTAATTAAAATATTAACAAACTCACAGATAACACTATCTATTTTTATCTCCAGTTTATATTATTCTTGGCGCTTCTTCGGCTATGAAATACTTTAATGATGAATTAGTTTTTCACCAATTGCTTGCCAAGGGCATCACAATATTGACTTAATGGAAATTGGATGTTTAACGTCTTGATTTACAAAATTAAAAGGTGGTCTAAAAGAAACACTTGTGGGAGGAAGGAAACGGCGATAGTAAAGTTCAAATTAGTCAATTATTTTCCGTTATTGCACAATGGTATAGAGTTACCAAAATCTTATTTTAGTCGTTATTAACATACAAACATCCTTAGAAGCACAATTTGGAATACTGGAAAAAATGAAATGAATGGAGTTTACGTCCTACTTTTCTGCACCATGTGGGCTTATGAGGAAGGGCAATGCCATACAGAGTACATTAAGAGAAATTTTGCCTAGGGACTGGCCTTGGCTTGCTCTTTTATTTTTCAAATGTCGAGGGGTCTTTATAGTGCACAATCGTTAGAACACGAGGCCTAGGCTTATATTGTCCATTATATTTTTCCATGTCAACCCCCTTACCTGCATCACTGACAGGGGGGTGAACCGGTTTGAAAAACCTGAAAGTATTATGGGGTTATTTTGGGGATAAGTCTATCCATATACATCGTGAAACTTATTAGAGCTATGTCATTGTCAATGAAGCTCCAAAGTGTCATTGAACTATTGAGACGAACTCATTGGATGAAGCCAAACCCTCCCTTCCCAAAACCCAAAACGTGAACCGCCATTCACAGAAGTGAAGATGAAGAAAATGATTACAATATTGCACTTTTCTTGTAACTTGTTCGCCTGCGAAGAAATCTTCCTGACCGCTTTTTTTCTGCAACGAAATAATAACGTTAATAATGTCTGAAAATAGAGGGATACGTCAACAAGGCATTGACAAATTTGATTTATATTGTATTTTATTATCTAAACCTAATAATATATACTAATACATAACATTGTCTCTTACCTAATTCCTAAACCTAATAATATATACTAATACATAACATTGTTATAGAGAATCTTACAGATGAGATACACAGATTGTACAGAATTCTTATGTAACACTTACTATTATCATACCTTTAATATAGGTTTACTCTTATCACAAGTACTAAAACTGTTCTTCACTTACCAGAGTTCAATTTAAGCATTTATCATAGAGTTTCGAGAATGAAATAAAATGGTATATTTATCGGGAAAATCTTCTGCGAAAGTTATAAAGGTATGACAACTCTCGACAGTCTCTATACCCTAAGGAACTATCATCATTGGCAAGATCGATATGAAGTCTATGACTGCCTAATGATGAAAAAAGAATCAAAATTAAAGTTGATCAGCAAAAACTGTAATTTGGTGTTTTAAATTGCTAATCAAATTTTACAATCAATGCTTTCGTAAAGTGAAACATTGACTTCTAAATTGCAGTTTGTTCTCATGATACCACACCAAACAACAAACCAGTAAACTGTTCAGAAACCTTATATAACCCACATCGTTGATGATATTGGAATTTTCACTTTTTATATACCGTATAGTCATTTAAGCTGTATCATTTAAATTTATGTAAAAAATTCTAACTTAAGTCGAGCAGCAAAATATTCGGATTGATCACAATTAAGAACGGATCCAAATGCTTCCAGTGGCGAATACAGAGGAATTTCAAAGAACATGCAGAGAATGTTCATTTCTACTGCACCAGTCTATTCATCCCTAAAGTTTACATAATACAAACTCGATTACCAAACAAAAACCCACTAGGTCAAATCAATGTAAAATTAAGATCATTATAGTGGCGTTAACTTAGTCAATCTCGTGGAACTATTTTGTGCATATTTTCGATGTTTCTAAAACTCAGACTGAAAAATGGATAATTAACCACCTTGTTAGAAAGGGTGTTAATGAAGGTACCAGATTTTGGAATCATTAAAGTTCAACCGTAAAAGTGCAATTCTTCAAGTCTGCTCTAGAAATACACTATAATCATAATTTCAGATTCTTGTTAATGCTTGCAACATCTTGATAAATAAGTTTGATGAATTTTAATGCACATAAATTTTTGCCTTAATTTTGGTTTTATGTGTGTAATGTGCAGCGCAAGATAATACTATATGTTTATGAGTCTACCAATTTATTAACAATCCTCGTTGCTTGCACATGTTTACAAATTTTGAGTACCAAATACGACGATTTCCATGGATATCTACAATTTTGACGGCAAAACGTGAAATTCTGAAAGTGAGACATAAGGCGACGGAACGGAACATGGTGTTATTCGTGTTAAGGTTACTGAAATGCGGAATGTTCAAGACTCTTCAACGATGCATTAGGATTGCAAAATTTAACTTTTAATTTAAATTAACTTAGTATATATAAATTCATCGGCCAAGTCGTCAAGCCGATATTTTTCTTTGTTGGTGCGTTCCTATTTGTAGTGTTTGTTGTGTATATTGAACAGTTAATACGGGTGTTGCGCCAGCCAGGGTATACTTACTCTTCTAGACACCTGATACCACTTTTCATACTGCAATAATTACTCACCTATGAATGATATACTTCCTCGTGTGAAACGTTCACTAGCTGTTACCAATATTTCGCCAAAATGTTGATTTGAATTTCGGATTTCGTTTTGCGGTTCGGATCGTTATTCGTCAGTACACTGTACTTGGTTTATTTCTACAAAGTACCGTTTAATAAGGACAGATGTCAATAAATGAATTTTACCTACTAACCCACATTTGCATTAGACTAGAAAGGTCGTATTGATAAAAAATATGGTGTAAAGAATTAAACTTATTCATGGTACATTAAAAGATCATTAGGGCCATGTGCTATGACTGAGTTATTGACTGGTACAGTTACATTGCATAAAAGGTGATCATGTAGTGGATGTAACCGTGGAGACTAATAGGTACAATACACCAATTACATGATGTCACGGAACCAATTAGGGACATAAACTATATACTAAAACAAAGTGGTGGGACAAATAGCACATCAATAGTATAATACGTTAGATAGAATTGGATTGATGAATAGGAACAGCACATCTATTGTAATTCGCCATAGAAAATACATTGCATATTGTCATAAATCAAATTGCAGGTACAAATAGGAAAAACATCAAATGTTTACGATGAGGAGAGGACTAATAGAACGCGCACATAAACCCATGTAGGCAATGAATTTTTGTTGGTCTACTTATTTAAAATTATATTTCACCCTTATTTTCCTACAGTTGTCAATATTATACCATCGTAGTTCTGCAAGTTTTCGGAAGGTCACCCTCTCCGTCCGAAACCAGGACAAGCCCCTGTTACGTAGCATCGTTAATGAATTATGTTCTAAAATGCACTCAATACATTTTAAAATTAAGTATATCGCTGACTTATTTAACCTACAAATGTGTGTCGATTGAAAAACCACACAATACATGACAACAATACTTTCATTATATACAATTCTATTCATATTGTGTCGTTTAACAAAGTTATTATGAAATGCAAGTTTTGAAGGGATATGCTCCTGTAGATATTCCATTAACCCTTCGGTAGAACTTATGTAAATTTTGGTAGGTTTTAAATTGATATTTTAATATTTGAAATGTTTTGTACCTTTGTAAATTGTTATTGTAACCAATTAGGTTACGCTCGAGGTGCGAATTGTTATTTTAATTCCAGAACAAATTAACCCTGAACTTCATTAGATGGTATTGCCAAGAAAATAATAAAATAATTCTTATTTAATTAGATACAATAATGGGAAAAGGGTGATAAGACTCTTGAATTTATTTGTATGTTACGGGAACAGAACACATGTTTATCAGTTCTTAAACACAAAGACACAAATCCGACATCAACACATCAAATCCTTCATTTAAACGTCAAATAACATTAACAGTAAAAAGTACAACAGTTGACCACTCACTTATTCGCATTCCATTTTGAAGCGAAGCCCGTTGTACCTAAAGAACTTGTCTTCAGCAATACAGTAAATTCATTGATTCAATCTTGGGTTTAAGACAGATTGTAAATCAAGATCACATGTCACTGATAAGAAATTGGGGGATTTCGACAGTCGTAGTTTGCATAGTAAATTTTTCTTTGCGTTAAGAAGCAATTCATAGTCAGATTACAGAAATCATTTGTGATAAGTCAAACGAAGGAATAACGTTTCTCATCGTGTGCTGTTCCCCTTTAAAAAATGTGTTCAGAGTTTTTATACCATGCCATGTGTATATTTTTATTAATTACTATGACCCAATGTAAACTAGACGACAATGTTATATTAACCTACACCAATAAGGAATACATTAATAAGGTGTATTCTGATGGAAGTACTGTCGTTTTTGGTACATTTACCAAAGATAACCACCTACTGGATTGTGATATTAGAGCAGTGAATGGGACTGTATCTGCTAACATCTTTAAAGAGGTCAGTTTTATTTAAGATATCATAGATTATGATGTCTGCTTTATATATAATTTTGGAAAAGAAAATAATATGGCAAAAATGTCAGGTCGTTGACATAAATTTCCATCGAACTTCTGATAATATTGTTCATGTTCATGTGAGCAAAGCAGTATTGCAGATTTCAAACCAACTGATTTTCCTGTTAAAAATATGAAGTCCGGCATCAGCTGGTTTGCACATGAAATGAGTTTAATCTTCACTGAGGGTGGCTCAGATCCGACAGAATCTAAGATCAACTGGAGTTTCAACTTTTGCTAACAACTGACAGAATCTGGGAGAATGTGATCAATTGCTGAATTTAGCCGACCTGAAAAATCTGGTTGTCGACCTCTTCATAGCTGAACTCTGAAGTATGTAAAGCGACTCCCACCCTTTGTGGAAAATTAAACGTTACCAAAAGTAACAAATGCTTTTCTAACTAACAAAGATCAGTTTCTTGTAGTGTAGATTTCTCCTGATGGTACTTCTCTACGGAGGAGTTCACTACAAAATTACATTTACTTCCCATTTTGCCATTCTTTGTACGAGATTTTTGATTGACAGAATAGTCTTGATGGTACGTACTTTTATTATGTCGGACAAATTGGCAAGATGTCTCGTATAAGTGCTCCAGTAACACCATAACCCACTTATGTACTGCTTTAGAAATTAACTTTTATCGTCTGTAGAATTTAAGATATTTCCATTAGATTAACACACGTGACTAATTTTACATGATATCAGCTGCAGATACCCTAGAACCATCATACATTTCTAATGCTCAGTAATTTAGTATATCATTCCCATAGGAGTTGTATATCATGAAGATACATTGATAATGTCGTTCCGGATTCCCCTTAAGATACATCGTTTCAGAGCCATTAAATATTTCCTGCAGTTTATATGCTTTTAATAAGTTAGAACTGAAATAAGTTTTTTCTTTGATTCACCAATAACCAGTATAACACCACGAGACATAAACAACTGGCTAGTACAGAATTCAGTCCACATAATCTAAGAATTCAGCGTAGAATGACTGAAATATGAAAAAGAAAGTTGCAGCTCAATCAAATTAAAATGAGGCACAGCAATGTCTGGGTAGTTTTGAGAATAGGTAATTGAGAAAAAGACATATAAGGTTTGGTCGGTGTTTAAGGCATTTGCCTCATTTTTCTCTATTATGTCACGGTCTTGTAAATCAGATACTTCTGCAATATTGGTTGCTATTTTGTATAAGGGAAGATTTTTGTCCTGTTTTAATGTAATCTTCATAATTATAGATGGTTCTGTTCCAGGCTTTAACCAATAAAGATACAGAGGCTGATATTCAACCAATGGATATTAAGAGAATGGCAAGACAGTGCAAGAGGTTTATAAGAAAAATGGTATGTTATCAATGCATGAGCTTCCTTCTGCAGTTCAAGCGGGAGGTTCAGGCACATACCGTTTCTCAAGTACCACTTAGGAATTGATACATATCACAACTACCGTTTTAAAATTTTATACATGTCAGTGTCACAACTACCCTGTCACAAACACTGTCATAGAATTTGATACATGACACAACTCCTATGAAAGAACTGATAAATGTCACAATGAAAGTTACAAATGCCAGAACTATCGTTCAGACTGAATACTGCTGTAATAGAGACGATTATTATCCTTGACTTAGTTTCATGTAGTGTTATTTGGCATGTTCAAGAAATGACACTTGAATTTACACCAGGGAATCCCGAATTGAATATAATTTATGACACAAGACTTGATTATTTTAATGAACAGATTTACCACCTAAAATAACATATTACTGCCAAATCATACAAAATAAAAGAGAAAAATCTATGGCGTTTACTGCCAAACCATTCAAAAGATATGTTAAAATGCTGTTTAATACAAAAAGCTTCCCCAGTCTCGATCCTTTGAATTAGTTGGATGGTTATCCCGTGTAATTTTAATGAAGCACTTGGTATCTTAATTAGTTTTGAATTTTCTCATTTTAACTTTTGATTTATTTACAAAGAAAATTCATGTATTTATTTACAGTCTGTTCTCACATTTCTATTTGTTCGAAGCGTTACTGTAAGTCATAGCTTAAATAGTTTTGAATACAAAGATAGAGAATGAAATTCAGCATTTAGTGTTAACATATTTCAGTTGGAAGAGATGTTTTGACATCTTCCTTCTTCGTTTGTGTCAAGAGAAAGTGGAATGCTCTGCTTGTCAACAGTTATCGTGTTTACGTCACAGATCAAAATTCAGCATTTAACAGATTTAGCCAAATTGTTCGTCTTTGGGCCGGTGCTCCTTTATAGTCTTTAAAGATAGATTAAATACTATTGGCGACTGACCATAAACGGACCTTACGGGTGTACTGTATATTGCAAAATACATGACGTCGAACGGCTTGCGAGCGATTGATCTTCACCAATGCTTCGAATGACCCATTGTTGCTAAATTTATCCAGCACAAGCATCGCCAGAATTAAATATGTTACATGTCAAAATATATAGATGTTTCTTTCTTGTCCACTTCATTCAGCATTTGTCCACGAACTGAACTGATATCCAACATGGTAAAGTCTCTCGAAACGGCGAATGGTCAATAACTTTAGAACGCGATAATATTATGGATACACATTGATAGGAAGGCTCAAATTCCTCGGTAAGATAGTAATAGTATTCCTGATAGCTTAGCTTAACAATTTCGTCTGAGGTTTCCGTCTCGGAGATACCATTCGAAAATCTTAGTGAATTGGAAATGAAGGCATGTAAGAAGGGGTCGTCCGGTCGACTGATTTCCGGAAATTTTACAAACTGTGACTGTCGGCCTTGCTCTACTTAATAAGTAAATTAATCGGCCTTGCTCTACATAATAAGTAAATTAGTAAACTAGTTATTTCTAGATATTCTAAGTAATGTATATAAAACATTGAAATGTCGGTGTTGAGTTGTTCCACAATCTACTTTAGTGATCAAATAATATTTAGCATACTTTCTACTCCGCTAATTTGTGAACAATTCCTCCTGTTTTCAAGTTTATAAATTGCTTCACTTACAGCGTTGACTGATCGCATTTGTTCGCTTTTGAAAACTGCTGTTCTTTTTGCCTGTTCTACTAGAAATAGATTACTGTTTCTGGCATATAAAACACGCTAAAAGTTGAACATCACCATTCTTCCTTAGTCAACCCTATATTGATTTTTGGTTGGTTCAACTTATTAAGCAAATCCTATTTATAGACAAAATAGGTTGATAAGTTTTGACATCGTAAGATTGTTGTTTTCAAGAATAACTTTGATCGGCATTCACGAAAGTGAAAGCATCAACATAAAACGGACATAAAAAATCGGCATAACTATCATTGGCAAACAAAAGAATCTCCAACAGCCTACCATGAGAGTTCTGATAGCGTCTGCATCATATAACGGTTAATGAATGGCAGCCATAGTTTGTCGAACCATTGTCAATATTATGATGTATTCACGTGATATGTTTATGGATTCTGGTCATTCAAGCCAACGAGTGTAATAGTCAGAATTATTTCCTTAAAGACAGTGGCGAAGCCAGGTTTACATCCGAGGGGGGGGGGGGGGGAGTTAACTGCCTTTGTCCGAATCTCTAAGCTTGTTAGTAAGGGGGAGGGGGGGGGGGCACTGTTTAAAGATGTAAAGCAAGGGAATACATTCAGGTCGCAATACTACTATCACTTGATCAATCTCGGGAGTAAAGAGTCTCGCCCAAGAAGACATAACAAAATCTTCCATTCATCACCCAAAACAGATTCAACTTTACGGAAATTGCCAAGGATTGTCGAATGAAATATCTCAACAACTATTGGTGTCATTCTCCAAAATGTGTTGTCAGGCAATATGGGAGAAACTAGAAACAATAAATCAATAAATTTTGACAACGTAAGCTTAATAAACACTGTAATTAACATAAGTCAAGCCAAAACCGAACTTTCAGCAAAGTAAAGAAAAAAGAAAAAATTTCTACAGAAGTATTTTTTAATCCTATGTACTATATCTGATTACTGTAAACAAGCTTTCAGCAAGTAAATTCTTCCTTTCACTTTGACAAATTTCCAAACTAATAAATTTTCAAGATTTTTACAAGACAAAAAAGGAGACAGGTGTATGCGTACTTAACAAACAAATGAAAGACATGTTAAATGAGGTTTTATTAATGTTTTGCTTTAAGCGGTTTAGTTTTGTTAATGGTCCATAATTTCACAAGAACTTGCCCAGAGGGAGGTTGCAGGAATCAAGACACAAACAAGTTTATGACCTTGAATGAAGCCGAGCAAGAGAAGTTCAAGTAAAAAATAAGTGTAAAAATATAGCAAGTTGCCATTCTTTTGACCAATCGTACCTTATTCTCAGAAACAGTTAAGCTAATCAGCAATAATGTTCACAGCTCCCCATCTAAATTTGAGCCTTCTAATCCACGTTGGAAAGTTAAAAAGACGGTTCGTCGTTTCTTGAGACTCCATATATTATTATAGGAAAGACAAATAGAAATCAAAAGTGAAATTCTCAGAGATATTTTTAATAAAATTATGCGATGTCAGTACATTTCCAGTGCATCTGAAGACAAATTAAAAATATTGAACCTATATCAAACGCCCAGTATTAAGAACCGGTCCTTTTATTGCCCTTTTAGTTTTATAACATGTTCTGTTGTATGTCACTACCCCGGAATTGCATGCAATATTCAGCTAATAATGAATAAAATATAAATACGTTTCGAATAAGGATTATAACACGTTTTTGAGTCAGAGATAAATTTCAGAGCTGGACGTTGAGACATGAATAAATTTCAGAGCGGTATGTTGTGACATAAATAAATTTCAAAGCGGTATGTTGTAACATGAAAAATTTCAGAGCGGCATGTTGTGACATGGATTAATTTCAGAGCGGCATGATGTAACATGAAAAATTTCAGAGCGGCATGTTGTGACATGGATTAATTTCAGAGCGGCATGATGTAACATGAATTAATTTCAGAGCGGCATGATGTGACATGAATTAATTTTAGAGTGGCATGTTGTGATATGAATTAATTTCAGAGCGGCGTGTTGTGACATGAATAAATTTCAGAGCGGCATGTTGTGATATGAATTAATTTCAGAGCGAAATGATGTGACATGAATTAATTTCAGAGCGGCATGTTGTGATATGAATTAATTTCAGAACGGCGTGTTGTGATATAAATTAATTTTAGAGCGGCATGTTGTGACATGGATTCATTTCAGAGCGGCATGATGTGACATGAATTAATTTCAGAGCGGTGTGTCGTAACATGAATAAATTACAGAGCGGCATGTTGTAACATGAATAAATTTAAGAGCGGCATGTTGTGACATGGATTAATTTCAGAGCGATGTGTTGTGACATGAATAAATTTCAGAGCGGTTTGTTGTGACATGAATAAATTTCAGAGCGGCATGTTGTGACATTAATAAAATTTCAGAGCGGTGTGTTGTGACATGAATAAATTTCAAAGTGGCATGTTGTGACATTAATAAATTTCAGAGCGGTGTGTTGTGACATGAATTAATTTCAGAGCGGCATGTTGTGACATGAAATTTCAGAGAAGTATTTTGTTTCATAAATTAATTTCAAAGCGACTTGATTTTGCTTTCTTCCCATTTCATAGTTAAGAAAAAAGTCCAACGATCCCGATCCCTTGGTAAAGCAAACTAAAGAAAGGCTTAAAATACATGTTGGATACGCAGGTGAGAACACGGAAATAATATTCACCTTTCTAAAAACCGATACTGATACTATTCGATTAGAAATATTGGTGCTGCTACTAGTCCTTGACATTTTGTTGGTGCATTGTTCCTCAAGACAGCATGGAAACCGTTTGAAAGAATGCGTTCTATCTGTTCTCAATCCATCCCATTGTAATTTGTTTTCATCAAATTCGTTCATCAAACTATGCCACATATCATATGGAAAATGCATATGGTTGGCATTAGATGGATTGTCATCGCATTTACGCGTTTTTAAAGGTTTCAAATCTACTACAATCTGGTAAAGAAATCTATATATTGGTGTCTTTCCATATCAACTTTAAATAAACCCATTTAAATAATTTAATCCCTCATCTTTTCAGCCCTTCCTCTTAACGCACCTTTTCGCTTTTCATATCGCCCCTCCCGAATTCGCCTTCTTATCTTATTCCATATACCATATGTAAATTCGCCATTTCTAAACATTAGGTACATCATATTGCTCGACGAATCCCGAGGCTATGGTTAACAAAACAGTTGAAGTAGAAAATAAGAAAATTAACAATTGTTGTAAAAAATTACATTCATGTAAAGATCATATATCACGTAAGTATCAAATTAATATACATAGTAACATGGTATTGTTAACAGGTGCAAGATGTAGAAAAACATACAATAACTTCAGGTATGTTTCTACGCCTGGATATGATGCTTGTCCGGCCTTGCCTCCAACCAGTTTCAAATTTATTTTAATTGTGTGACTGGTGCCGCGAGCCTCTCTTGACAATTTTGTGTCAGTCACTCGCCCCCTTTTCCTACTACTGTACTTGCGATTCATGTATTCCAGCAAACCTGGAGTCTGTGAGGGGCAGCGCTATCTTATTTAGATCTCAACACGACAGTTGTCTATCGTTTGAGTCAGTTCACTGCCCATGTTGTACAGTTTACGGATGCCTTTTATACTTTCAGCCATGCAGATAAAATATAAGTTATTTAATCACACACCGTGGTCTCTGTATTCTTGTGATTGCTGGAAGAAGTTCAACAACTGTATTCACCAGTTACCACCATCTCAGATTATATCTGATCTCGAGACAGCGTTTTTTAATAATATAAAATCACAATGTTTTACAACTGACTCAAAACAGACTTGTGATAAATGGTCAGAATGGTTCACTGCCTGTGATCATAGTACAACTGAAACTGTAGCTTCTTTTAATTTTGTGACTGATCTATTAAAATGATATAAAATCTGCTTTGGTGTTGTTACTTCCCATGAGAAGCTAGATACAAAAGCCCAGCCTATCTTGTCTACTACGAGAATCCAGTCTTGGACATACCACTGAATTTTGTGTTAAGACTCTTTCAATGGAGATAACTAGGATTCAGTATATTCGATCTTCAAGTCTTAGATTATCAGATTCAATAGCCATTCTAGACTCGGTCAATTGCAAAGATTTAAAGCAACCGTTTCAGGTCATCTTCCATTGCAGATGCGTAGACAAAGGTGATCTGAATGATAGAGGCTAGATACAAAATCGGCCCAACCCTGCCCCTTCCTGTCAATGATGTAAATACAATGAACAATGAACCAAAATCTCCGCGTGCTACAGATTATCCACTTCCTAGGCAAGAATCGTTGTCCAGGCGAACATTTCCTTTATTCATATTGTATGGCAGTGTCCAGTTTCACCAGTCCAATCCGGCGGAGGACTGAAAACTGCGTTTCATTTCAATGCTAGTTAGGTTTTGTTTTTTATTAGGTATTGAAATATATAGACACAGCTTTATGGAACGACAATCACTGGTTAAAGTTTTATGCAACGTTTCGACGTGTTTCCCCCGTCGTCCTCAGGCACATAATGAGAAGAAGTGGTGGGCAAACTATATAAACATTAATGCTTATTATTAAGAACACACAAGAGGGATAAATGGTTTATTGATACATTACATCAGGTAGAACCTGTTAAAATTTATACATATATCGTACTCACAATTGCTAAATGCCATTCAAAGACTTTAGGTATTGAAAGATACAGAAACAAGAAAACCTAACGGCAACAAACAAGATAAATGGTCAAAGGGATATAACTCATTTCACACCGAGGAATGTAAACTACAATATTATTTTAATTATCAAAATACTTATATGCAAAAAAAAAAAATGATTACGGATAGGTGGTGTGTTCTTGTATCCCCCTCTATGATCTCACTTGGCGAAGGGCAGAACCAATAGGCAACTTAAAGAGCAGAATTCCACTTTTTTAGACACATTGAAGAGATTATCTTTCAATTGCTGACTCCTCGATAGTTGGAAAACGAAAAAAGAATGCTGTTCTGGAAAATATCCCTTATTGCACACTTCATGTATTATCCGTTTTCATAAACCCAATCAGGTGCAGAACAGACATGCCAAAGAGTGTAAGAACGGCTTGCAATAAATAATTCAATGACTTATTACCTCCCTTGAACTTTTAAATATTTTTCTCGTAATACATTATTATAGCCTAATATTGATTTTACTACTGCTTATATATTGTAATACAATTTAGACCTATGTTAGTGTTGATCTTTTATAGGTGCTATCCTGACAACACTAGGTTGAATACTGCCATTTATTCAAAAGTGAATTTGTATAATAGCTTCAAACAGTACTGATAACCTTAGAACAACTTTCCTTTTACAACAAACTACCAAAAATATCCTGAATTTGGCTTAAATTGCCATCAGTAACAACAAAGTCAAAAGCTAAATTATGGGGTTATGGTTATATTTTCATCAACGCCGACTCATTCCAAGGGTGCCTTCACACAAAGTGTATGTGTATTTGTTAACTATTCCACGTATGAGTTAAGTGTTGGTTTCTTCTCGGGAAGTTTTTCTTAATCCGATTTAATTTATAAAAAGTGACTAGCTGGTTTCTACTAGCTGAATTGGCTAGCAAAATAATCCTATGAATAAGGCGGCTAAAAAGTATTTAATCGTGTAATTTATAATGCATGAATATACATTAAACACGGCAGGCATCATATAGAAGTGTTTTTGTTATTAATGTATATGTATTCCAAATTAAAATGTTGTCTTTTTAAATTTGAGTCACATATGGTAATCAAAATGTGATAGTTTTGATTTATCATGCATTAAAGTTATCATGTTCAGTGGATTTATAATTTAACTAGGGTTTTGTGATAACTAATATGCGAATAACAGCTGAGTAAAATCGGCGGCGCTTTCCTCGCACAGCTGACAGATTTTGGCTGAAAAGAAATCGGCTGAAGCGACGGTAACTCAAGAATCTATTCTTAGTTTCATATAATATTCGACTGCACTCTTACTACACTGAAATCTAGTTTAGTCTGTCGAACTCTTAGGTTCATCACGTGTAAGAATTTGTTGTTTCTATTTCTGACGTTTTCATATAATGTTTGATATTTTATTAAATTCTTGTCAAAATTTTAATCATACGAAACCACGTGTTGCTCCTAAATATCTGAATCTGGTGACATAGTTTCGTATAAATTCTAACCATATATGCACATTTTGTCATCATATATTTATAATGAAATAAAACGATGAAACATTAGACATAGACTCGTGGGAACTTTCATTAAATTTATTAGGTATAGTAGGTTTAAAAGAATGTGTTTGTTACAAATATAAGAAATTCCGGGTCGAAACATGGTAATTAGTTGTTGTTATATAAAGATAGAAGAAATCTATTTTAGGTTATAAGGTCAAAGGTCGAGGCAATATAATGTTATTTTTAGACAATTCTGAAACTTTTATTTGACAGTTACATAAGTTCATTAACATTGCGAACAATTTATACAATTTTTCATTTGTTTAGTGCAAGATGCAATATGTACCCATGGTATTAGCTTTAAGGGATTGTAAAAAGGTTTTCTAAATTGTTTATGTATATCGGGGACACTATAGCACCAATTTGCAATCAGGCGTCTGTGGTTCCTGCATTTTTCCATTAATTTGACTAACGTTGAAGAAGGCTGTGGTCAGACCCTAACTGAAGTGGATAAATTAAAAATAAAAGCTAATAAAAAAAACGGAACGAAAGTTTGGTTTTAATTTTAATTGTATGTTGGTATTCTCCATTTGTTAAAATGTTATTTTTTTTAAAACGGTTACTTATAACACAAACTCAAAGCGAAATCCATTTTCCTTAATGTGAAATATTAGTTACACGATTCTTAAAAGGATAAAACAGATATGTCTTTTTTGTGTTCAAACCAGCAATCCTACTTACACTGACCATTTAAAGTAGAAAACAAGACAAAAGACCGTTATAAAACGTGAGTGTCACCAAGAACAAGTTTCTCTTTAATGTCCTGAAGTGAAACACAATTACACTTTTGTGCCATATTCATATGTCACTTTGTCATTGTCAAAACTGACTGTTGTTTTCGTTATCTTTAAAACAGCTTTATTGCCTGACCGGGTTTTACTACATAGGTCGCTGTTACCAAATACACGAATCTTGCCTCCTACAAAATGTACGATGGGATTGATTTTTTTACATCTGATAACGGATTTGATACGTTGTATTCACCACTTGCATAACATTAAGATCTACGGACGGATCGATTGTCCCACATCTGAAAACGGATCGGATACGTTGTATTCAATAGTTGGATATCGTGTTTTTACCCAATGGGATAATAATTTAATATTCTAGTCTGGATAATTTACGTTGTCAACAAATTGATAAGCACATTTCAAACTTAAATGATTTGAATAAAAGATTTGCCAAAGGACTTCAAACTTTGGAGTCCACAAGTTTGGACATCTGACAACCAAAAAAATCGGGATCATTTGTTCTTCAATTGATATATACTATTCTATATATTGTGTAAGGTCGCAAGATTTTAAAAATATGCGAAATTATACTTTATATTATTATTGTACTTGTTGTCATTGAAGAGTTGAAACGATAAATCTCGTAGGTACATATTTCCATAAATTTCATACATATAAATGTACATCATTTGACGTATATATTGTTTTGTTAACCTTTCATTCAAGTTGAAAAAAAATCAGTTATGAATGTGACTTTTCTACGAAAGCCTTTTAGGCCCATCTGAAAAAAATATATTTTATTTTTCTGAATGTATTTTGCATAATTCCAAATTTCGGATTCCACAAGTCGAAATTTCGGATGTTAAACGCTGTCTTGCTGAAACTCATTTGGAAAGAATATAGTAAGGGATCTTTTCCATCAAGGTTTGGGTTACTAAGAAATTAAATTTGTTGCCTCAGAAAGACTAAGCGTTTTAACCAATTGAACAAATTTTGACGAGTTAAATCAAGCCATGGGCAATAACTCGAAAACTGTTCACAAAAAATGAATGTATTTTCAAAATGTCAATGGTATTCAAAAACATAATTAAATAATATATTTGTCTTAAGCGTTTTGAAGAACTTGAAATTATGAGTTGTGGAATCCGAAATTCCGAGTTGTGCAAAATACATTCAGAAGAATATAATCAAATTTTTTTTCTAGATGGGCCTAAAAGGCTTTCGCACTTCTCGTTTGTGGAGAGTACATATATAATTCTGTAAAGTGTTCATATATATGATATGGTAAAACAATTCGTACAAGCAAAGCAATTTCGTAACCAAAAAACTCACCCAAAGCATAATATCGGGAGTAATAACTGTATAATAGTGGACTCCTCAAACGAAATGTACCATCAGGTGTTTCAAAAAGCATGGTCTGCATCGGGCGCAACTTCCGACACTATACTTTATGTGAATATTGTGGGATCAATTCATGTTTGACTATACAAAACTGCTACTATGCAAGAAGCCGATTTGTTGTAATTGGCAAGGAGATTGTCATTGTGCTTGGTTTTCACATTGTTAAGTATGCTAACATGTAATATGTTTATAATCGCATATTTACAAAACCAATACCCAATGAAAGCTGATATCATTATGATCCAATAAATGCTGAAAACGTGATGACACGCCCACTTAATGATTGGCAGACATAGTTGAATTTTAACAACAGCACATTTTGGCAGTTTAAAAAAGAAAATTTTTGTTAGAAAAGAATGATCAATGTTTTCAAAGATTCAAGGAATGCTCCAGTTTTTCTGGAATATCGGGATCAACACATGAACATCAAAATCCAAAGTATACCAAATAGTGCACATGGAAGACAAACGTATCCATTTGTTTCTTTTTAATGGAAATGACGTGTTTCGTCTTGAGTTTATTGGTATTTAAA